CCATATCTTGCTGCTATAGTCTGTCTAGGTCCTGAGGGAGGTCCCTTGGTTATAGGCTGGTCTATTGACATGAAGTTATGGATGTTTTTAAGAGGATTTTTTCCAGAGAGGAACATGAGTTTATGCTTGCTACCAGTCATTTTGTTTGAGCATATAATGTTTTACTAGATGTTATGCAATCAGGAAGAGGATTCTTTTAGTTCAGGTTGGTCCCAAACGCACAATTTAAAAATGCTTTTGCTGAACTGTTTACTGCAGGTTATTACTGAAGATAGCTTCAAAATGTTAGCATCTTGACAAAAACAAAACATCTGTGTTTGTATGTTTGATTATGTATTTTTAGAATATGGGTTGTTTGTTGCTTATCTAACTGTGCTTGGTCAGCCTAGGAAAATTTGGAGAGAGACTGGTCTTTCTTTGTTGCTTCATCTAGGATTTTCTCAGATTAGGTATATATTCATTAAATTTATATCCATCTTTTGTGAATTATTAGGAAGGGAGGAAGTGGATGGGGCAGTGGGTTTAATTGATTGCTGCCAAAAGAATATGATAGCCTGACTTAACTCTCCAAGCCGTGGAGATGCAGAATTTCTGTGTCCACTTCAACTTTTTGTAGTCCTGGTGTTAGAACATTTAAAGTTTAAACTTGCAAGCTGGATACATGAACTTTCATCATTTTATCATATGTAGTTTCACTTATCTGAAGCACTCCATAGATTGTAAACCAATAATTTTGAGATTGCATTTGTAAATCCTAATCCACAAGGGCGCGAGGCTCATTTTTCTCTTGATTTTCTCTTGCATTTAAACCCATGTTGTGATTCATGTCCTGTTCAATGCAAGTAGGCAATTATTATTTTTATTTGAATTACTTCAATGTCTTAAATCTTGTGCCTCATTGTATTTATTAAATAGATTATACTTGGTACCCGTAGAAACTCTAATATGTTCTAATTTAAATGTAGTCTATAATCAATTAAATATATTCACTTGAAACCATTTACAGATGCGTGGACATGGAGAAATATGCTTATCGTCTTGTTGGGGTGGTGGAGCACTTGGGAACCATGAGAGGTGGCCACTATGTTGCGTATGTGAGAGGAGAGAAACTAGATGATGGAGTTGCTGTATGGTATCATGTCAGTGATGCCTATGTGCGTCAAGCTTCTCTCGAGGAAGTTCTTCGCTGTGAGGCATACATCTTATTCTACGAGAAAGTTTGAGGTGGATATATTTTTTTTTTTTTCTTTTTTTCTTTTTTCATACATTTGATATTTATTACAGTTGGGGGGTGAAGTGAGCTCCCCAAAAAGACGAGGCAGAGGAAAAAGAGAAAAGGAAAAACAAAAGAAGCTGAGGTGAGTGTACAACAATCTTTACCATTGTTTCGATACCCATTCTTTTTTGACATATGATATTCTGAGATGTAACATACCCATTAGATTATATCATCAGAAAATCTGTTTCTCAGTTTTGGGAATCCATTGCCTGTGATATTTAGAAAGTTAAAATTACTGATTTTTTCCCTGTGTTCATTTCATTAGATGATGACTTATACATCTTTGGCAGATAAGTATCTATCAGAAAATTTGCCAATCCAAGTTGTTTGATAGGATTTTCAATCCCCTTTTCTGGATGAACATGAACCTGAACCTGAACACGATGAATTTATTTTCAACTTAGTATATGAAGTTAAAAGTTCCAATTACAGGATGTTTCTATGGTGCCTCCCAATTATCGTACTTCTTTGCTTGAAAATCCTTAGATTGAATATACAAATCTCTCTCTCTCTCTCTCTCTTTCTTTTACTAACTTAAACTAAGTTAATTGAATCATGGCTTCCAAGAGAAGGAAAGTACCAAAATTCAGAGGTTTGAGAAATCTCTATGAAGGGTGATTCTGTGGACCTGGAAGCACCCAGAAAAAC